TTGAGGAAAACATTAATATCCATTTGATTAGTGTAGTAAAGTTGAATCTAATCATTTAATTTTACAATGACTCTATGATATCAATTTCTGTACTATCCTAATGCTGCTAAAATAATTAATTAAAATCCTAATACTATTAAAACTTGAATTATAAAATAAGAAATCAAAACAATAATTTTTGAATAAAAAATAATAATTCTTGTAACTACACTTCTATTAAATTATAATCTCCTCATTGTAATAAATTTAGTTGGTCCTAACAATATATATATATATCAATTTTTTGTTTTTGAAAATAAGAGATACAAAAAAAATCTTATGAAAATACATTATAAATAAGTCAAAATGCTTTTAAAGACAGTTTGGGAATTCAATCCTAAAAAGTTATTTAAAATAAAAAAAACGATTAAAGTTGTTTTCACTATTTCACATAATTTTTTAATATTATATTAAACATATTTTCAAATATTAAAATGGTATTTTAGTTTTTGAAAATTCTGTTCTAATCACAAATCAAACATATAGGCTGTTCGTTTGTTTCAGTTTTGGGAATACTACTTTTAGTATTTCCAAAAAAGTTAAACAGTAAAATACCCAAAAACTCAGATTTTTTGGAATACTACTCCCAATATTATTCAACTTTTTTTAAACCCTTTAAATTTGATAATTTAATTAAATACCCCTAAATATTTTTTTTTTAAATTACAAAAACACCCCAATAATCCACATTTACCAGATTCTGGCCACCACCACCGAAAAATGGCCGGAATCTGGTAGAATGGCGCACTACCGGCTGAATCTGGCCGGTAGTGCGCCGATCTAGCCTTTTCCGGGCAGATCCACGGTGGATCTAGCCAGAAAAGGCCAGATCTAAGGCCAAAGATCTGGCCGTTGACGGCCAGATCTTTGGCCGTAACAGTCGGTCACGAGGGCCAACAAACGGTCGTCGTTGACCATCAACGACGACCGTTTGTTGGCCGTCGTTGAGAGCAAATACGACCAGATCTGGCCGTTGACGGCCAGATCTGACCGTAGATCTGGCCTTTTCCGGCCAGATCCACCGTGGATCTGGCCGGAAAAGGCCATAGCGACGCATGACCAGCAAGATCCAACCGGTCATGCTCCCATAAGGCGACTCCGGCCACCTCTGGTGGTGGTCGCCGGCTGGGGGTGTTTGAGGGTGGGTTAGAGGTATTTTTGTTAACTTTTAATGTTTTATTATAGGGGGTATTTTGTAAAAAAATAAACATAAAGGGTATTTTATGAATTTATAAATTCTACATCGTAATACCGGTCCAATTCAACTTTTTTTTAACTTTTTTTAAAAAACTTTTCCCAAAACCCCCAAATTTTGAACCAAACAGAGCCATAGTTCTTACTGCGGTTATCAATATTATAATTGATAAGAATAATTATAACTAATCAATTTATTAATTCTCCCAAACAAAAGGAGTTCCAAACCTATAAGAGGGGATTATTAATTGGAGAATTAAAACGATCTTATCCACAAATTAGTTGTCCTAATTAATGTCGCTTATGAGTAAAATACTTTTTAGAAGTTAATTTATGCGATCAAATGGGTTCTTTTGTACTATAAACAATTTTTTTAAATGTCTCAAAGAATCTCAATGTATTCACACCTCGGCTCGTGGGGAAATGGTCTGGAATCTAATTAGTTTAATTAACCCGGTGATTAATTCATAGTGTCATCGGTGGTTAACAAAGAACCAATCCTCTCTGGCCATCATCACTTGATATTTGGAGTTGTAAATAAATAAATTAACTTAATTAAACCATTAAAATAAGTGTACTTACTATTTGTCTTGTTTTGATTGTTTTTTAATTATCATTTAGATCCATGATGGAATCCACCTCGTTCACACTTTTTTTTAATTCTTATTTATCTTTCACTGGTTTCAATTTTCGATAAAAACTACATGTAATCATTGTAGATGTAGATAAAATAATTTATAAAATTAAATCTACTCGCGAATGCTTTTTTTTTTTTTTTTAATAGTATCAGGGTGTGTAGGTTAACTTTCGCACACTTCAACTAATTTCTCGAAATTTTGAAACTATCGATCAAATAAGAGTCTTAATGATCACCCTTATTAATATCTAGAGCACTTAACTCAGGAGCTCGTGAATCTTCTTTTACTCTTTTATCATCACATTATTGATAGTTTATGAATGAATGCTATTTTCGAATATTTACATAATTAAAGAAAAGCAAATAATTATATTTTCTTATAAAAGTAAACAATGATGCATATCTAGCAAGAAAGTTTAGGTTATATCTGAGACGGGTTCATATATAATTTTTAAAATTTATCATATCATATAGTTTAAAATAATAGTGTTTTATATCCAAAAAATAAATAAATTGGAAAGAAACTTTACTTGTAGAACTATATTCCTATTCTATTACTAGATTCAAAAATGTAATTAAGGATTCAATTAGAAGAAGAAATGTTTGATTAAGTAGTGATAGTTACGAGTAGCCGTTGTTAAATGCTTAATTAAATTTATTAATTAAGTTAATTGTACTGATTCTGACATTACTAATATTTTTTTTTAAATATTTAATGGTTTTCCCTTCAGGTTCTTTTTTTATATAAAAAAATCATTATTTAATATTTAGTGACCAAGCTTTTAAGACTTTGGCCCAATCTATAAATTTTGGGTCCCATTCTTTGAGCCCATATGAAAAATGATGAATTATATATATATTTTATTTTGTTTTCATTTCTATATATAGTTTAGATGCTTATTCTTTTATTTATTTATTTATTTTAAATCTAGAGTTAGTCACTAGATTCGATATAAAATTCATTCTATTGACAGATTTATGACTTAGATTGTGAAAAATATTAATCAACAAAACCAAAATAAACTATAATAAATTATATATAATTACGTATACCATAGAAATTTGTATGCAATGTTTTCGCAATTACAAGTATTTTATTATATTAAGATCAATTTTGTTTAATATATATATAAATAAATAAATAAGACCCTTATCATACAATCTAATTGTTTTTTTTTTCTCTGTATGCACATCTCATTTAAAAGCTTAGCAAAGAGATTAATTTCTAAATCCCTTGAAAAAGATAGTACAACCACCATTAATTTTTTTTTTCTTTTAAGGAGATAAGAAAATAATTAATTAAATGGGTTATGTTAATTACCCAATAAACTGTTTAAGGATTATTAATTTTTACGTAAGCTCAAGACTTTAGAGATTGGCATAATTTGATGGTGATGCAAGTAGTGATTAAAAAAAAAAAAAAAAAAAAGAGTTGATCCATATCCATAGTTGAATTTGAGGGTAGATAATTGAATAAAATAAAGAAATATTCCTTAAATGAAATCTGAATTTATGTAACGCAAATCTTTAGATGTATTGATGAAATAAGAAAGTTGAAGAGGAACCCATTTAAAAAAATGAGTTGTACTGTTGAGAGCATCTCAACTGTAAGCATATTTAAAAAACTATAATAGGTCTTCACTTCATTTTCTTCAGGCATGGTCTATGGCTCAACAACCACCAACCAAATTCCAACTTGCACCTAAATACCCATTTTCTTGGTCTATTTCTATAGGAAATAATTTGTGGGTCTTATTTTATAGGGATTTAATCTGTCGTATATTTGTTCTTTAAAATAGATACATGTGTGTTTGTTCAATTACGATATAACATCTATTCTATTTAAAAAGTTTTTACGAAGTTATATCTATCTTAATATGATTGAATCGTCGTATACTCTTTTTTTTCTTCAAATGAATGTATGTATACGATATCTGTTTTAGTTAAAAGTTTTTATAAATTTCATATGGTAAAGGAAGACATTTGCATTGCTAATTTGACCAAAAGAAAAGGTGGATGAGAAATCATGAAAGTGATAATTAGAAGCATGTGGCAGGCACACACACAAGTTGCTATATCAAGAAAATTTAATTTGTAAAAATCTCAGTATAAAATGCTCTGTTTTGGAGTTGCTTACTGCAGTCATATCATATAATTACAGTTCACAAATGGTGTAGTCAAGTCTCCAAAAAGAGAGGCAATGAGTGGTCATTCTTTTCCAATACTTTCTTTATAATCTTTTTCTCATGGCCCATGCCTAACTACAGCCATGCAAGAAAATGTCTTCAAAAGAAAAAAAGTCACATTTTTCTCAACCCATCTGTCCCACACTTATCCTTAAAGCATCATCATAAAAGATCAAGAATTTGAAGAAAACTTTATACAATTCTATGCCCAACCCAGTGGATCAATATCATTCAAATCCCCATACCTAAATGCTTTATTTTTCATAATTTAAGAGCTAAAATTTTACAGGGGTTTTGTAACGTTCGGTAAAATGAAATAATAGATAAAAATATCGCAAATAGGCCATTGCCATACTCGCCCAATTTCCAAATTTCAACTAAATTAATGAGGTGATATTACCTATGGATTTTGACTTTGTTACAATAGTTATTACTAAACAATTTGGAGACATTTATTGGATATGTAAATATATCAAAGTATCTAGAACACCATTTTTTTTTTTTCTCTCATCTAATTTTATAATTAATGTAATAGATAATTGTTAAATTTAATTTATTGACTTATGTTCCCACAGTGAGATAATAACCAATAATTGCATTAGCTAGACTTTTAATTGGCTGCTTTAATTCAATTCAATCTATATATGGCATGATACTTTTAACCTTTTCACGATGGCCAACAATATGATAAATGTTCCCTGGCAGGAAAAGAGAAAATATATGATTGTTGTAATGAGCGGCCCCATAGTAGCTTCTGTATGATTACTGATACCTGAAAAAACTCAGCCAAGAATATCGGATAGATACGGCTTCGATCTTAATCTACTATAAGATTTTATTTAAAATAAGTACAGGAAGATAGCTCATAGATAACTCCAAGGTCAAATATAAGGTCACCGTCAGTGTTTTATAAAAGAAATTAATATTAAAGTTCAAACCAGAGAAGTAACATGTTGCAGTCCAGGAGTTTTTAAGTAACAACTGGGTTTGTAATATTCAATACAAATCACCATTAAAGCAAATTCATTTTCTATAAGCTATCTTTTTAACCTCAGTTGTGACCTCTATATATATCTCTATCTATGCAAATAAGTGTTGAAGAACTAGGAGATATAGAGGCTAAAATGAAGAGGAGAAGAGAAATGGAGAAGGGGTCAGAGATCAGGTCTGCCATTGAAGAGCTCTCCATGACTATCAAACTGAAGCCTAATGATAATCCTGATGCAAGTTCTCATGTGCCCACCAAGCCTTTCTTGCATGTCTGCAACTTGGTTCTTCAAGTTCTTGGTTAGTTTCTTCTTTCTTTTTTTTTTCTCTTTTCTTGCACCCTTTAATGATTAGAATTTCTTGGTCATGTGTTTGTTCTTTTGCAGATAAGATAGGGCCAACTATGCTTGTACTAAGACAAGACATTCATCAGAATGTTCAGGTAAGAAGAAAACCATATTCATCCAATGCACATACCTATCCTAGACTTTTTTTTTTTTTTTTTGTATGACAAAAACACCCTTTGATTTTTCAACTTTCTGGCTTTTCTTTCGTATCAAAACTATTGGTACTTCTTTCTGTCACTGTAATTAATTTACGAGTTCTTGTTTTGACTGTTAATTCAAAGAGATTGGAAAAGCTTTGTGAAGTGAATCCTTCATTGTATTCAAATGTGGTTGAGATGTTGAAGAAAGAGGCCAGTGAAGGCAATGCAAGAAAGGTTTCAAGTTGTAGCAGAGCCTTTGTTTGGCTAACCAGGTAAGCCAATGTATATTACTCTATCTTCCATTCATTGTTTTAACTTTGAGTTCTGTTTTCAAGGTTGACAAAAGCAAAGTCACAAAATTGGTGGCCTGGTGGGTTTTGGCAGAACCAAAAACCAGCTAGACCAAGTTACACTTGCACCAATGATTGTAGGATTATCAAGTTAAATGGCCTATCGTATTTTAATAATGCTATTCTTCATGTGAGATGCCAGTTTCTTTCGGAAATTAATCTGTTTTACTACAGATCCTTGGATTTTACGGAGGCTTTATTACAAAGATTAGCAAGGAATCCGGAGCAGAAAATGGAGCAAGCAGTGGAAGAGTCCTACAACATTACTTTGAAGCCATGGCATGGATGGATTTCCTCGGCTGCTTTCAAAGTAATATTTAACTCTTTATTTCTCTTCTACCATTTTATGAATATATATCTTGGTGATACAAGTCATTAAAGCAGTTTTTTTGAGCTGATACATAATGTCTAGATATTGGGTTCATCTTGCTAGTAACTCAAGTTAGATTTTAAGCACAACAGATCATTTTATAGAAGCAAGTGCTTGGTTGTTTTGAAGTGAAAAAAGTTTTTTATGTTAAATGGAATTGAACTCCTGAATTTTGCAGTTTGTTGTTGGTTCTGTGGAATGTTAACAATGAACATAATTGCAACTAGATCATGATCATACCCTTAGATGTTATGGTTCATCGATCAAGTGGATTTCTAAATATTAATGCTCCATTATCCCTTCTTGAGAGCTATTCTATCATTTAGGCAATTATTTATAATGTACTATGTGGCCTCAACTTCTTCAGATAATCAAGAGCTAACAAATATAGTGTTTGCAGGTGGCTCTGAAACTAGTGCCTGACAATATAACTTTCATCAATCTCCTCCTGGCAAAAGATGAAAACTATGACACCCTAAAAGAGGAAATGCAGACTTTGATTTCATTACTTGGGCCTTTTCTAGAAGAGATTCACAGTATTCTGGTGAGCATTTTTCTTTTGCTTACAACACAAGTCTGATGGTGTTACCCAGTTTCACTTGTTCATCCTATTTTTTCAGAGATTGCATCGCTTGGATATGTTGAAGTCCCCATAAGGAGAAAATTCGGAAACAGATCAAAACAGATGTACAGAGTTTGGTTTTATGTAGCTTTAGATTTTTACGACTACATTTTCTGTTTATGTAAATATAAAGCTGTAATTTTGCCTAACAGATATATCTATATATATCTTCTTATATTATAAGTAGAATTCTATGACTTGTAGGACATTCCTCTTATTGAATCTTTAACTTATTTACATTTGAAAATAGAATTCTCATATAATTCATAGGCATTTATGTAAAACTAGTCTTGTTAGTCCAACAAAAATTTACTTTATGATTCTGCAAATCATGCTTTGATTACACGTTTAAATCTGGAAGATCTGAGTAAAAGATTGTTAAGAAAATCATGCTGTGGTGAGTAACTGATATGAGGAAAAAATTTGGCATAACCGAATTTATAATAGAATATGCATCCATGACAGTGTTCTCAGAATTAGCTTATAAATGAAGATATAATGCTTTCATGGCAGTACCTAAACCCTAAACCCTAAACCACACCATCCTGACTCAGTATGAATTTCAACATCAAGTCAACAATATTTTTTACACAAACTGCCATCTCTTCATCTGCCTCTCACTTTGTTTAAAAGAATGCAGAACTATCCTCCATGAAACTTGTTTAAGATTATTTGTTAGCAGTCAGTTTTTCTTTGCATAACATCACAAAAGTTAGCCACAGAGCGTAAAAAGTTCTACGGACTTAAACTGGATGAATTTTTTCAAAGATACCCAACGGGTCGATGCCTAATTTGGCGACATTTGGATTCGAAGACTTGTGAGGAGGATCATGAAGTGCAATGAGGGCTGCAACTAAACCTGCATTGCTTGCTATGGTTGGTTCAGTGAACAATGGTTTGCCCCTTTCATCAGAGAAATTATCAAATTCATCTGGTCCTGCTACCATGGCCCCCAAAAGAACATTAGGATTTGGTTCTTTTGAGTTTAGCCATCTATCTCCCTCTTCACAAGAGTGATATTGTCCATCCCAAGGAATTGATGCACTCCTGTGGTGAACTTGTGTTGGATAGTGGTCTCCAAAGCCAACCATGTAGCTCATTTTCATAGGATTATCTCCTAATATGTAATTGACCTATAAAAAAGAGGGAAAATTAGAAGACCCTTTATGTAAAGAAGGGGAAAGTTTATTTTGCTGCATAATCAGAACCTGGAAGCCTGATATACTTAACCTGAGACATTGAGAAGCTCCTCAAATTTTCAAGGGAGAATCTATCACTGCTGCAAACACCACCCGATCGCCGCAGGAGCTCAAGGTAATCACTGTATAACTTACTGAGGAAAGATGCTGCTGCAGCAAACTGAAGTGGTTGACCATAAGCAGGCTTTAAGAGGATCAATCCACCTACATTAAGAAAATTTTATGAAGTTATAAACCATTAAATTTCCAGCCACTATATTGAATCCATGCATTTTCATGTAAAAAAGTGTACATATTCATATACAATTGATGAAGTTTTACCTTTTGTCTTATTGAACATCTGATCAGAAAGATAAGAACACATCAACTGCTCAGTCCTTTTTGATGAAGATCCCAAGGCATCTTCATAAGGGTAGCCAACATCACGAAAGAACTGAACTCTAGCTAACAAAACCTGCAATTCATACTTAGAAATTATGTCAGCTTTCACTCAAAGACACATTTCAATTCTTCAAAAACTCCATGAAGTCTTGATTAATTAAATTACCGCGTTAGCAGTGAGCTTGTTGTTCCAATAGAATCTCCCTTTCTCGGATATTTTTTCTTCATCTGCAGCTTCTTTAAACCTCCTGGTGGCATATTCAAGGTAAGAAATGTTCCCAGTAGCAAAGGACAACCAAGTTCCTCCCCAAACTAACTCATCTATGTAGCTAGTTGAGTTGTAAAACTCTCTTGCTTCTCCGCCACAATCTTCAACCTCAGTGTAAGTTCCTTGCTTGTGGCCGCCGTCTTCTTCCACAGTCGCCGCACTGTATAACGTCTCTGCCGCTTTGATTAATTGTCCAGAGTATTCCTTCTGTTCTCTGAATACCATTGATGCTGCTGATAGCGCTGCGATAATTTCCCCTGCAAGATCTGAAGCTGTGCTATCACACATCGAAACAGGTCTCTTATAGCTCATGTCTTCAGGTCTTTGCCAGCAATTTATGTCATTTCTGACCCCAGTGTCATTGCCTGCACCAACCTAAAATCACAATACAATATCTCCAGTAAATTTTCATTTCGAGATAAATAACAATGACCATAGAACATTAGATAAAAAGGCTTGCCTGAGAATAAAGTACTGTTTTATCAGAAGTGGAATTTGTGACCTTGAGCAAATAGTCACTACCCCATTTGATAATATCCTTGATATGGTCAAGCTCGCCTATATCAGCATATTTTTCATGGTATTCAATAACAGTCCAGCTCAAGAGTGTTACAGTATAAGCTGTAGGAAAACTGAACTTGATATTGCTTCCAGAATCATAAAATCCACCCACAAGGTCAATGTTACTCTTACTGCCATCTTTCAGTCCTGAATTTCCTCGAAATTTTACCGGACTGTTGGATGGGTAACTCCCAGCTGCAAAAAGAATTCTTTTAAGAATCTTAAGAGAAAAGAAGATGGTTTAGAAGAACAAAAGAGTGCAGAAAATTACACTTCTGAGCATCATAAAATGTTAGAGCTTGGCTCAATGCAAGTGTGAGATTCTTCGAAGTTTCATGGTGGTGATGTTTGCGAGGCAAGAAATGCAGCAAGAGAACAAGTAAAGGAATTAAAAAGAGTACCGAGACAGAGATGAAAACAAAACGTTTGAAGCACTTTCTATCAGTGATAACAAGATCATGATCGAAAGATTTCGAGTATCTTGAAGGGAGTGAATCATATCCACTGGAAGATTTAGGGGCAAGGTTGAATTCAATTTCTATAGAGTTCCATCTACTGGCTGAAGGGAGAAGCCGACCCGCCTCGGAAACTGAATGCACAAACCTGACAGGGTGCATTTCTGCATCAGATGCAGAGGTATGTGTAGGAGAACCTAGGGAGTATGGCATAATTGATGAATATGATGGTTTCCAGGAAAGTTTTATACAAGAAAAAACAAAAAGGAAAAAATGACAATTCCAAGGCTGAGATATCGATTGATTGTAACAATTCCAAGCTCTTTGTTACAAGCAATTGTTGTTCTCAGGCTACAAGAATTAGTGCACAGTAATGTTTCTTTCTTGAAGTAAATAAAATTTGTGTGTTTCTTCTATGCTCTCTGGGGTACCATCTTTTTTTTGTGATGAACTTTCCATTTCATACAAATGACATGTGCTGTTACGTATCCATTTGACAATGGATAACTGTAATCTGTAGATATTTCTTTTAGGACTTATCGTAGGATTTTATTTTTGTATTATTATACATACACGTTTCTGGTAGAATATAAGAGATATATAGTAATTTATTATCAGAAAATTACTGATATGTTTTCCAGGAGGCCTTGGGTTCTTTCACTGAACATGTAACTGCAAGGAGAGGCTGTTAACTTAATAATTTCACAACAGATGTCAGGTCAAAGTCAATTAAATTTATTAATGATCTGTCTTGAAAGAGGGTTAGAAAACTGCCATAGTTATTACGGTGAATTCAATGCAGATTAATTTGTCTCTCTTCATGGTTGCTAGCTTGTTCCGTGAGGGTGGGAGAGACAGAGAAGTTTTTATGATTTATTTATGTAATCCTGAAAGCCTCAGCCGTCCAAACCGCACAAAATGCCACTGGGAAACAAGGAACTTCAACTTCTCTTTAGTTGGAATTGTCTAATAGCTGCTGCCTTCAATTATTTTGTTGCCAAAAAGGCATTATTCTTGCATAAATTCCCATTGAATTAAACTGCCTAGGATTGCAGGCAATCGCAAAAATAGTTCCACTAAGCACAAAGATGCCCACAAAGGGCTGAAACGTTTAAAGGTTTTCTGTATAGACTATAGAGTCCTGAAAAAGTCATTCATTCTAACTTTAGATATTATACAAAAGCCAAAAAATAAAAAACCAATTTATTCTTGTGTGAAAATTTAATTATCAGACTCATCTGGATTATAAAAGATATCAAATCTTTTATAAGAGGTTATTAACATAGGTTTTTATATCTCAAAAATGAATATTAAATACCTATAACCGTGATAACATCATGAGATTACAACTGTATATGAACAAAGTACATTTTTTTGGGTAGACCATAATTGTTTTATCTATGTGTTTGATACAAGTCATCTTAATATAAGCACTTTCTCGTGTGTATTGTGGACCTCATTCAATCTGGGCCTGCAGTGAGTCATTAAGGCCCAAGTGCACAAAAATCTCTTGTCCTATTCTAGTCTTTGGCACCAAGTATGGGCTGAAGTGAAACAAAATTTGTTGGGCTTTCTGATCAGAAAATCCAAATCATAACTGCTACGTCTTCTTGTCCCCCATCTCCCACAACAACAATTACTCTCAAGTCTCAAGGTCCAGTCTTCTTTCCTATTCAAGGTCAAGCTGCTAACATAAAATGTAATGAATCAAAATGGGGATCCGTACTACAATTAACAAGCCAAACAACCTTCTTTGGATCTTCTCTCTACTCAAACCAAATAAACTCAAAACATCTTGGTGAGGTTTCTGTCCTCATTTTAGTCATATATTTAACCAATATCGCTAATGATCTGTGATCCATACGCTTAATGATTGTGATCCATTTCATAATTTTTTAGATTTCGTCTGGGTATGCTTGAATTTGCGATTTGCTAACCCATTAGCTGAATTAGCATTATAATGAGCAGTTTTTCATTGGGTCAAATTCAAATAGTCCCAAGTCCTTCAATGCATACCCAAGAGGTGATTTCGACATAGAATTAGGGACTATTAAAAGAACCCGGAAACCGAAAATGATCAAATCTTTCTCTAATCGCCTTCATACTTCAAGAAGTTGCATCACTTGTTGTGCTGTTCATTCATTGTCAATGCTGTTACTGTATTGATCATTTGACTGCATATGAGAGCCATTTTCGGACGATGAGCAGCTAAGAAATTTTGATGGGGATTGATAAGTATCCGTTTTCGACGCTAAAGAATCTTGTAATGGTTGCTGGACACTCTGTATATACTAGTAGTTGTG